TACATTTAATGTCATTAAAAATGTGAGATGGAGAAAATAAAAATGGTTGCACATTTGAGCATCAGCAAGAACCAATAAGGTTCATTCTCATTTATTTCACAGGGCGTTTGAGCTCCTGCTAGAACCAATGAGGTTAATTCTCTTGTAACACAGCACGTTTGAGCTTCTGCAAGAACCAATGAGGTTCATTCTCATTTATTTCACAGCACGTTTGAGCTTCTGCAAGAACCAATGAGGTTCATTCTCGTGTTACAGCACGTTTGAGCTTCTGCAAGAACCAATGAGGTTCATTCTCGTGTTACAGCACGTTTGAGCTTCTGCAAGAACCAATGAGGTTCATTGCATGTTATGCAGGACATTTGAGCTTCCATAAGAACTAGTGAGGTTCATTCTCAAGTTATGCAGCACTTTTGAGCTTCAGAAAGAACCAGTGAGGTTCATTCTCGTGTCACGCAGCACGTCTGAGCTTTTTCAAGAACCAGTGAGGTTCATTTTCGTGTTACACAGCACTTTTGAGATTCAACAAAGAAACAATGAGATTAATTTCGTGTGTTGCGGCACGTTTGAGCTTCCGCAAGAACCAATGAGGTTCATTCTTGTGTTACACAGCACGTCTGAGCTTCAGCAAGAACCAATGAGGTTCATTCTCATGTTTCTTAGCACTTTTTGAGCTTCAGACAGAAACAGTGAGGTTCATTCTCATGTGTTACGCAGCACGTTTGAGCTTCTGCAAGAACCAATGAGGTTCATTCTTGTGTTACACAGCACGTTTGACCTTCCACAAGAACCAATGTTACGCAGCACTTTTGAGCTTCAGAAAGAACCAATGAGGTTCATTCTCATGTAACACAGTACGTCTGAGCTTTTTCAAGAACCAGTGAGGTTCATTCTTGTGTGTTATGCAGCACTTTTGAGCTTCAGCATGAACCATTGAGATTCATTCTCGTGTTACACAGCACTTTTGAGCTTCAACAAAGAAACAATGAGATTAATTTCGTGTGTTGCAGCATGTTTGAGCTTCCGCAAGAACCAATGTTGTTCATTCTCATGTGTTACGCAGCACGTCTGAGCCTCCTCAAAACAGGGTTTGTTCTCCCACATCAAGCAGGTTGAGCTTCTGTTTATGTTCCCTAATCAATGTTTATATGTGAACAAAAGCCTAAATTACATTGCTTTATCATAAAGCGATCGAGTCTCATTAGAAAATTGACTAAACCACTTGACCACCAGATTATTTTTATGATCTCTTTATGAACTTTATGATCTCTTTATGAAGTGTCAAAGTGGTAGTTGCGTAGCTGTTAATGAAAGGACGGAAATCTCTCAGATTTCATCAAAAATATCTTCATTTGTGTTCCGAAAATGAACGAAAGTCTTACGAGTTTGGAACGACAAATGATACAGATTTAATATTTTTGGGTGAACTAACCCTTTAAAGACGTGTATCAGTATTTTACACTAATACTCAACTATTATTCCAAGCATTTTATGACAATATTGCATCTGACTGCAGCATTCAACACAACATAAGTCTGTAGTGTTAATCCATCTACACTTATCAGACTTCCCAGAAACCTCCAATTTAGAAACTAGTCTAGAAATGTCACGCAACCATGTCTGACCCACTCCTTTGTAGTCTCCTGTCATGTCTATACCAAGCATCATTTGTTATTCCTCTCAACAATTAAAAAAAATATACTAATGACAAAAGACTTCGTTGTCATGCCAAACAGTACACAATAAGCTTTTGGAAAATTTTGCTTGGTTTGTGCCTTAAGTAGTAAAGGCCAGGCCTCAAACCCAAGCCACACTGCTGAAGTACTCAAGCTAAGCTCCTGGTTTCCAGCTATGACCCAATGAATGAAAAATGTCTCTCTTGAAACAGCTCCATGAGAGGCAACATGGTGTGATTTCTCCTGTTTCTTTTAGTTATGACTCTGTATTGTTCCTCTATCTTTTTTGACACCTGTATGCGAGCACTGATTCAGTTTCCATTACAGCATTGCCCTTTAGTTAATTAGTCTCCATCTGGTTCCAGTTAAAGTCACTGATGTCACCGCTCCCCCTCCCTGTATGCCAGTCACTCCAGAGAAACATGGAAAACATTAGAGCCGCCTCTAATTAAATAACCAGGGAGCGTTTGTCACTATCTGTGTCTCTTGGCTTAGCTTCGACTCCCACTTATAGACTAAAACATTTGGATTTGTTGCAAAGCCACATGCAATAGCTTGCTTTTATTGCCTTTCCACACCCACACAAACAAAGGACAGAACAGATAAAAAATGGCTAAAAATATGCATTAAATTTATTTATGGATCAAGGATCAATATAATAGGTGGTGATCTGGCTATGTGTTTCATGCAACATCTTCTATATCTGGGATGGTACCTGTCCCAAATATAATGGGATCATGAAGCACTTTAATATAAATGAAATTTCACAGGGCTGACAGGGCTTTACCAGTTAAATTAACAAATAGTGAATTTAGTCGTCAAATTGTTAAGTATAACAAATACCAAATACCACATCATTTGAATAGAACTTACTATAATTTTGAATGCATGCCATTGAAGACATTAAAGCAAAGACAAAGCAATGCAAACAAAGGATATAATTGCTACAATTTGCTTGGCATCAGTGCATAACCTTTTCATCTGTCAAACTGTCTAAATAAAGATTCACCCAAAAACTGAAAATTCTGTCATCATTAACTCACCCCTGTGTTTTGCCAAACCCGTAAGACTTCTGTTTATTTTCGAAACACAAATGAAGATATTTTTAATGAAATCACAGTGATTTCTGTCCCTTCTTTGACAGCTATAAGCAACTTCCACTTTGTCACTTCAAAAAGTTCATAATTAGATTGTTTAACTAATCCATATAAATTTTCTGAAAAGACACAATTGCTTTATTTTTAGGAACAGATTGAATAGGCTTTTATTCACATATTTCACAATCACATTAGCAGCGAACATAAACGCATAAACAAAGCTCAGCCGAATCTGCTTGACACACAAGAATGAACCTCATTGGTTCTTTTGAAGCTCAAACGTGCTGCGTAACACAGAATGAAGCAGACTAGCTTCCATTTGTGCATGTTGATGAATGTTTATGTGTGAATAAACGTCTAATTTAAATCTGTTCAGTAAAGCGATCGTGTCTCTTCAGAAAATGTGAACTAAATTAATCAATTCATTTGGATTAATTTTACAATATCTTTACAAACGTTTTGAAGTCACAGTGGTTGCTTTAGCAGTCAATTTTATGGAATAGAAATTTCTTAGATATCATTAAAATATCTTTATTTTAGTTTCGAAGATGAACGAAAGTTTACCGGTTTGGAACGACATGAGCGTGAGTAATGACAGAATTTAATTGTTTGGGCGAACTATTCCTTTAAGGTCAGAAAAAAAATCCCTAAAGTCCAGACCGTGAAACGAATGTCTAATATTAGAACCAGTGTCAATACATAAAACTACTCTTACATTATAGGTCAAGGCACATTAACTTTAATGTGCTGCTCATAAGAAACGACATAAAATCATTTTAATTTAAAAACAATTAAATGTAAATGTAAAATTAGAGTTTTAGGCCCAAACATGTTCACCCTTTTCAAGTAGCCAATTAGAATTAGTTGAAACTTAACAATATAAATGCAAAAACTAACACATTGACTGAATTGTAGAGATAGCCTACATTCATCATAACGCACATATTCGTCCCGGAAATAATTCCAACAACTATCATTTCCAGTAAAAAGAATGAGAACATAACTTGGGGATCATACAGTTGAAAGTCACAATTTATGAGGAAGTCAAAATTCACAATCTTGGCACAGCGGTCAAGGATATAAACACTTAGCTTACCGTTTGAGAAAGGTTGGAGAGTCGTTTGTTTGCTGTGCTGCAAGGCCGCTAATTCCACATAGAATCAATACAGTTCTAGTCCGCTGTAATTATCGCTAATTAGCAGATTTCGTAACATCGTATCTTATTTTCGTAAGAGTGACCTATAACATTGTGTAACTGTTTACTCTCGGACGAACGGAAATTAGGAATACAAAGCCAACAGACACTTTCACTAATTTCTTCAAACTTTTATCAGAGACATTAAGGCTGTTTTTTTTTTTAAATTACATTCAACTTTACTGAATGCAGGTCTTTCCGAGAATTCATAAAGTCGACCTTAGGCTTACCGAGCTTATTTGTAATTGTGCAATGGCGTTTCATAGTTTTATTCAATGTGCGCATGTCTTGTGCGCATGTGTGTTGTCCTTTTAAGACAGTGAAACCCCCATAATTTTAATATTTTCTGCAGTTTTCTTTTATTTTTTATAAAGTAGCAGTTTTTGTTGTACGTATTAACTCAATTAAGCCCCACAGTAGACATAAGTAATTCCGTTTTCATGTCATTTCAGAAATATCACTTGTTATTTGTTTTATTTGTTTAGAATTATCACTTGATATTTACTAATTATTTGTTTCAGAAACAAATGTCCTAATTTAATGATTGATCTAAACAGATCAATTTGGTTCAAGGCTTAGGCACTTTTTATTGTTTAATTTCTTGAAATGCCAGAGATATCGTATGAGCTGGTTAAAACAAAAGCTTACATCTTCAATCCCATGTAGACAAACCAATAGACCACCACAATTTCAAAGCAACAGAATACAGGAAAATCATTTCAGCTCATACATAAATGGGCCTGTATTATTATACATTTCAATAACATGTAAATAATTACTATAAATAAAACTTATTTTAAAGCAAAGCCATTACTGATGATTTTGTATTTTTTTTTTTTTTATTGTTTGCAACAGACCAATTTGTCATGAACATGTTTCTTTGAAGAGGTATTCAAAATATACAAAGGGTACTTGGTCCAAATGTAACCATTCTAAAGTATTATATAATCCAGTTCCACCACACAGTCGTCTGTCGGTCCATGCGGTACAGTCCACTTGTCTTAATGGCTTTTCCTGATGGCTTGCTGTTCTCAGGTAATGACATCTGGGTGTTTACTGTGCTGACTGGCTGAGACTCGCCACAGGCTGAATGAGTACCTGAGGGGTGGCTGGATGGCGTGGCAGGCCGGTTTATGAGGAGGGATGGTAAACAGACAGCAGCAATGGCCAAAACCAAGGTCCTGCCCTTTGGATCGAGCAAGTGTGAGGCCAGAGGAAAAAGGCCGGCCAAGCAGGAAGCAAACGCATGCTCCCTATTCACTACATCATAAACGCTCTCTTCATTCCAGCCAAATCTGAGCTGTTCCTCAAGAACTTGGACATTATATAATGCGTCTACTGATATAATTTATAGCTAATCCTTAATAATTCATTATTCAGGAACGTGGGTTTCCAGTGAAAGCACTATAGTTGAGATGTTCATTAATATCATCATCACGGAATTCTGATGGTTTGTTTTCCCCACAGATGGATTTGTTCTAAAATATGAGGGCATTCAAAATCCCACAAGACTCAATACTGGATCAGATCCAGTTTCACTTCATACTTCCTCTCTCATCCTTGTGATGTTAATCATTGTCCCACAGTTACCAGTGTTCTTTTATCACACAACACTTTTATTGGAAGACATAATGTTTGGCTGTAAACATGTCTCTAACAACATGCTGCTACATTTGTATGCCAACAGATCCTGAAACCCACATGAAACTAATTACATCATCCACCATTCTTAAAAAAAATTGTGCCGTCAGACAGATAAAGAGAGGCAGAAAGACAGGTTTGCGACGTTAAGCTGAGGTCTTCTTGTTTGGTATATTCTCCTTGGCACTAAAAGTCATAAAAGGCCTTCAGGTTTTACAATGTCATGTCCAAACGCAGCATCCCCCACGGCTTCTCTTTCCCCTTCTCTCCCTTTCTCTCTTCCTTCCCTCTGAGCTACCTTCACCTCCCCCCATGCTTTCTTCCTTCATCAGTTGAAAAAGACAAGCATATTCTTACTGCTGAAAAGCACTATGAATATTGTTGAAAAGTACAAACTGGAAGGAATTTAGTGGTCTCGTGTTTGTCTGCCATTGATTTTGTTGACAGTGGTCAGAATTTTCTAATGCATGTGGTACAGATCGAACGATCTTAAAACCGCTTTTGCTACTGATGGCTTTCCAAGAACACATCAGAAGAGCCGCTTTAGGCTTATGGTGCCATGCGAGTCCATTTTAGTGTTTCTTGCTGCTTTTGAAAATGTATTGTTTTAAAAATGGCAAAAAAAAAATCAATGTTAAAAAAAATTGACTTTGCAAAAGAAAAAAATAAGTGTCAAACATCGTCAAAGTCATTCTTTAAAGCTGACATTCTGATTTATTGTCGGCCTTTCAAAACAAAAGACTCAGAGGTGACCAATAAATCCGTCCGTACTTTGCTTCCTCAAGCTATTTGTCCTCTTGAGGTGTAAAACACTCTGAGGCAAGCCCTACTTGAACCAGAGCTGTGAACATATAGCGTCCACCAATTATCCTGTCTGTCTGCTTCTCTGCTAATTATGGCTTGCCTGCTGTGTTTGCGCGAGTGTGCATGCGTGTCTCTTATGGACAGACGGGGGCTAATAACACCATATTTTTTGAAAAGACAGAAGGCCTCTGGCCATCGCTTTCAACACACATGCCACACAGGCAGTCCCACCCACAGCACTCAGACCTGTCATTGATGGCCATCCCCTTTCCCACTCTTGGACTCTCCGCAGCTGTGGTCTGGCGTGACAGAAAAGTGCAACAAATTACTTTGCTACCGCTTCTGAGGGCAAATGTCAAATATCACTCCATATTTACCAGAATGGAGTCATGCACAGACACTTACATAAGGATGGGTATTTTCTGTGCAGGGTGTGGATGTCATGTCAGCGAGCGAGAGAGAGAGAGAGAGAAAAACTGGTTTCCTTTTCTGGATGCCATCCAGGTCTGTGCACAGTACCAGGCAGCTGTCAGTAGGATTGATGAGCCCAGCTGGTGAAGATGTGCTGGGTGTCAGCAGGGCAGCAGATTTTAGCGAGGCCAGAGAGCACTCACCGCATGAGTTAGGTGTGATCTGAAGAGGACGTGATTTAGAGTGCTATGACTGGGCAGGTGAGATGACTGTACGACGGATACTTTGCTGGTGAATCAGCTGAAAGTCATTTCAAGAAGATGGGGGAGTGTGCAACGGTGTGCAGAGGTCGTGATGTGCGCTTGTATTTACGCACAAGACATTGCTGGAGGTGCAAAAGTTCTATGCAGATGTCCAAATAAATGGTAAATCATTGTGGATGCTCATATGCTTTTTGCACTGAACGTGTCTGGCAGCCCAGGGGCTAGCGAATGACTAAAACATTAGCAGGAATCCTCATGGCTCTCACACGCTCTCCCATCCCCCTCTGTGCTAGGCCTGTGCAAACACACACATACACACACTGAGCCAAAATGGTGCCCATTCACATGCACACTTTAAAACATCATGGCCTCTCTCCGGCTGGGGAATGCGTATCCGTGCGTTGCTTCGCTCGTATACACAAAGTGTCTATTTAGGTGTGTGTCCTCATTCCAAGAGCTGTAAAGATGCCATTGGCATCTCGGCCCAGAACACTGAATCGAGTTACAGGTGTTCCTTTTAACACAGTTGCCCTGAAAAAAAAAAAAAAAAAAAAAAAAACATTTTATGACCAAGCTTGTATGGAGACCTGGGGAACCAGAAGTGACACAGACCCACAAAACAAGTTAAAACCACGTACCCAAGATCATAGACACTAAACACACACACACACACACACACTGAGAGAGAGAGGGAGAGGGGGAGAGAGTAAAAATCTCTCATATAATTCACAACATATCATCATTCTCTTGAAATGTTGGTCAGAAATTTTAATGTGAATAAATGGTGTGTGTAAATCATCTTGTTTTATGAGGTAAACATTCTTTATTTCTTCATACTGCATAACTAGTCTTTCACTAGCTAAAGTGAGCCGTTCACTCTCCTTACTCTTCTTTTTACAGCGTGGTTGAAAATGAAAATAAAGCCACAATGAATCTCTTTATATTTTTTAACACAGACATTTGCATTTTAAAGGGCATCGTGATGAGTTAACTTAACAGTTTCTATGTACTGTTACATTATTGCCTCTAATAATGATCAGTGATAAACTGCCCTAACATTAAAAAGAAATACAAATCCATTCACATTTTTATGGCTGGAAAAATTATAGTGTGACATTTGAGAGTCATTGAGCTGCAGCTTACGGGCTTATTTTGGAAAGTCAAAGACATCTCAAATGATTTGGCAGTTTGTAATTTGGCCGCGGTTTGGGATGGCTAAGATGGCCCCGGCAAAGTCCTTTTTTTATTTAACACAAACTCTTAAATGATAAATGTTGGGAGTAATACCTTGTTAAAGGCCTATAAGTTGACATGAACCATGTATTTATGTATTTATAGTCTCAAAGAGTTGAGGGACAAAAGAGTATTATTTGCAACATGGCTCATTTCATTCACAAATGTCGGTGTCCAGCTAGGAATTCAAAACTTTAAGACTCATAAACAGAAAAAATAAATATTTTATATCATCATTATTACTACCACCACCCTATCTACTACAACAACTTCTGCTTTTATCACAACTATTACTTTTACTACTACTACTATTAATAATAATAAATACAATTTAACAACCGAAAATCTAAAAAAAAATCTCTACGTCTCAAAATATATTCCTGTAAATATACACCCTGAAAGAGCTGCACTGAAATGTTTTCATGTGTTTTGTGAATGTTTCAACGCCCTCTGGCGGCATAATAAAGTATCGCAACACGCTGCCCTTCTCCAAAACCTCCACAGCAGCGTTCAACAATCCTGTTCTAGAAGGGCCCCCAGCAATACAGATTTTGTGTCTTCCTATAGTCAAACATAACTGAACTGACTCATCAGCTTGCTAGCAGAGACAAAGACCCAAATACGGTGTGTTAGAGAAAGCAGACATTCAAAGTAATGTTGGGAGGTGTCCCATTACTCTACAGTAGCAATGTTGACATGTCAGCTGTTTGACAATCTTTTACTCCACGGTTATAATTAAACCTAATTAGTTTGCTTGCAAAATGTTCAGCATTTCATGTTCCTGTATATCTGACATGTTGTTGCATTAATTTTTTTTAAACATTTGAAAAGTTTGTGATTACTTTTTTCAAGCGATTCAGACAATTATTGTTACAGTTTGCTTATTTTTGCCAGCGATGTGCTAATAAAGTATTATTTTTTATATAATATAAAAAATATATTAACACATAAAATGATAAGAATACTAACACAGTACATATTTAATAAAGTAGAGGAGATGAAATGGATATTTGATGTGTGTTCTAGTTTGATTAAATCTATAGTGGCACAAAGGATGTATGTGAAGTGACACTTCCGGGGACGACTATTTCACATCATATAATAAATATATTTTGGGCTAATACAAGCACCAGAACCAATACAATTATAGCTCACAATACATTTAATTTCTGTGAGAATGCGTTCACTGAAGTAAAACTGTTTTTCATAATTCATAATTTAGAATAGTCTGGCATCTTATTTCAACCTGCAGTCCTATATTGAGACTATAGGTGGCAGCACAACACCTGAGACATCAAGCACTTTTCTCATCTGACTGAGGAAACTAAAACAGCCCGAAAATGTGTACTTCCCTCCTACACAGTATGCTATACTGTCTGAATACTAAGAACTCATGACAAACAATACAAAAAAAAATATCCTGATGATGTGATATTCTAAAAAGCTAAATTGTTAGCAAATGGTGAAAAGTCTTATATTACTGTTGTACCTCTCAAAATCTACTGACTGATTTTAGATCCCTAAGTATCACTTTTTGGAGAGTGTTTAGTACTTTTCCAATACCAACCCCAGCATTGTTTCTTATGCCAACGCCAAACATGTAGGCCTATTTGCCTTAATGTTTTTGAGGTTCAAATGGTCAAAACGTGTCTCATGACTTTAATGTTTGTGTCTTTTTTGAAGGGGCATCACTCATCTTGTAAGCACTCTGGAGCCATTTCAAATTAATTAACAAAATTACCTTCAATTAAAAAACGGCACCGCAGATCTAACAATTCAGGCATCCATCAAGTCAGCGAGTGGCGCTCTGCCTAACAGGCTAGCAATGAGAAAAACAATGAGGAACAGGAAACGCTGGAATGAACGGGTGCTTTTTACTCCGCGTCTATCAATCTATCTATGCTGTTACAATTCAGTGGCAATAAATGAATATGTAATCCCGAGCCCCATCACAACTGCCACCATGTGACAGAATGCATAATAAAGAGTACCGAAGAGGAAAAATTCTCACACACACGGAAATCTCACGCACACATGTCAATCTGTATCCAGCAGTCAGGAATAGAGGCATCAAAACAGCCAACGTATGGAGATAGATAGAGAAAATGAAAAAGAGATTAGATGTAGGGAGAACTGCTAAAGAAAAGGGGAGGAAGAGTGCAAATGAGGTGAGAGAGGAAGGGAAAGATGCGATGAAGTGGGAGATAGAGAGATGATGATGAGAGAGGCTGTGTGTGTGTGTTGGGCTGGGAGACTGTAGAGGAGATTTATGCTAGTTGTATAATTCCTTATCCCCCCCCCCCATCTCCAACTCCACCTCAGGCACTGGCCCACCCTCCCTGAATCTCCTGCACCACACACACACGCACACATACACACACACACACTTCTCTCCTACCCACCCGCACTGGAGCCCGTGATTAAGATTCAGGCGGGATACGACTGCAGCACTTTGCAAATGGAAGACTAGACATAATTTCCCTAAAATGCTGTTTTTTATCACCGATTTCCCCTCCACCAGCCTCCCACCGCACGATTGATAGCTGATGGCACCTCTGACAACTTAACATTTTTATGACTAGATTTATGGCCTATCTGCTCCTGCCTTTTTATAGCTAAAACTCTGTAAAAATGCTTATTTCTGTGATAAGGAGAGGGAGGGTGAGCGTGTCGGTATATATGCATCTGAGAGAAGGCACCGGGCTAACGTATATTTGTCGGTGACAAAGAGTGCCACCGCATTGCAGGCGTGAATTGGAGTCATCCTGGTTCCCTCAGGCTCTGAGCTCCACTGAACCCGAACTAGAACATTCTGTGAGGTGGCCAGGCTGCAGCTCTTTGACAATGGCGGGGTGTGTTCACAGCGAAGGAATGCCTTCAAAAGGGAGGGTCTTTCGCTCTGCATGAATTACATGGCATATTCACTGAAATATCACAGAAATGAATTGGACGCCTGGTCAAACTGACTTTGTTTTGCTGAAATAAATCACTTTTACTTTCATTGGACTCCTCAGGGAGATTTACAGTTCAATCAACAGGGTTTTATAGTGATATTTAGGGGACCTGAACTTGTACTGAGATACTTGCTGCTGAATATGGAATAGTGGCGTGAGTATCATCCGTGATCCTTGGCTTTAATCATCGGTGAATCTGCAACATTATTTTGATTAATTTGAAATACTATTAAATTTCTCATAGGCTCTCAAAACACCTAACCATGAATTTGTCCTATTATAGTTTCAACACTATAATTTTTTTCAGTTATTGTAAGTCATAACGACTGGTGTTTGTTTTTTAATTGTGCATTTAAGCATTCTTCACCAGTAGAACATCATCAAAAAACCACAGATTACCCAAATGTGGCATTCATTCGGACACTCTTTAAATTGTGACAATGAATTTGATGAAATGTCTGATTTCACCGTAAACACGACAGACATTAAGTGCAGAGTTTATGTGGCTAAATTTTTATGTGCTCACTGTTTATGTCTCCATGGCAAACGGCTCTTTTTATGTGTCAGTGGAACCAACATTTCTTCCTGAATTGGTGAGGTATTGTTTATGTGTTGGCAGTGCCTTACTGAACGCCGCTGGAGAATTTCCTTTTCTGCTACAAATCATGCACGTGGACACGTTGGTGCTTTGTTTTTTCTCCAAATTTTTATGAATGCAGATGTCCACATATATTTGTTTATATTATATCACTATGCTGAATTCTAACAGTCACGGCGCTGCAGAAGTAGTGTTCGATTTACTCGCTGTAAAGCACCTCTCACATTCAGTCTCCAGTCTGTCACTCACATTCATTTCTCTCTGCATACACATTTTCCTACTTACTACTGTATATTTTACTTATTGCATTTGTGCATTCCCTGGGAATTGAACCCATAACTTTTTCGTTGTTAGCACCATGCTCTACTGCTTGAGCTACAAGAATCTTACAAGAATGTGAATGCTCCCCTCTTCTTTACTCAACTTCATCCCTTCTTTCTTTGCCACAATGACTGTTTGAGGACCTCAGGGTAGAATGCTTCCTCACCTCATCATAACCACAAATCATTTGAGGTTTTACAGAGGAATGAGGTCAGCACATCTATCTATCTATCTATCTATCTATCTATCTATCTATCTATCTATCTATCTATCTATCTATCTATCTATCTTCTCTTTATTAGTCTAAGTACATTTAGCTTTAGCATGATGCTAATGCTTTCAGTGTAATTTTAGTAAATGCTTTCAAAACCCCGCAGGCTTGTTCTTTTTTTTTTATTAACGTTTTGTAATTGTTGAATCAACACCTTTCTGTTTTCATCTCTTTCCTAGGCTCAAACTCCCTGAAATT